CTCCTGTTTTTTTATTGGAGGACGTCATTGGTATCTTCCTACGTGAAGAATAGTGAAAAAGTTGGTTGGTTGATAAAAACAGGATTTTTACATTTATTCATAGACAAGAAATCCGATAAGTCAACATAACCATACCCAGGTATTCATTTTATATTGGACTGGATGGTTGAGAATGACCGACGGTTACATGGATAAATTCCGTTTTCCTGGTCGGCGATTACACACCCAGTTTTTGAATACGGAATGGACCTATGGATCGTTTTGTTATTATGTTCTTATTGTCGATGAATGGATCATCGTCACAGGTTCTGGAAAAGCTGGGACGGCTATTCGCGGCCTCTTGTCCGGTTATCAGTCCATGTCGGGTATAGGATTAGTTATCTGTGTGCAGATGCATGGACTTGATGGCGGTGGAAGCCGCAACCACCCAGCGGTTACGCGAACCCATCTGTGCCGTTACCGATATGTAAGTACCGTACTGGTGATTTGGTCACACCTCAACTGGCCAGTGGTTTATTTTATCACACGTCACGTTTATTTTATCAACGTACATTGTACAAACGTAATTGAAAAAGATTGTATAATAAATTGAGTAGATTTATGTTAAATAAAAATACATACTGTACTGAGATTTTCTACTGGTGTTGCTTATTTTGATATTAATTTGTTTATAGCCATTTTTAGGTCGACAAAAATTTAACAAAATCAGTCCTATACCTTTGTCGTCGTATTTAGATCAATTTCCTTTTCAGCAAATCCGCTAGGTGTCTCTATATCAATTTTTACGTACTGTTTTGTCAAGTCTGTGTAACCCCTCTTCCGCTTCAATAGAGCATAGATAATATTAATGTCTGTTCGAGACATCGTAGAGTATACTGTTGAAAACGAAAATATAAATTAATTTTTCAAAAAATAAATTGATTTTTTATGTAAATTAATATTGGCTGTGTGCGGCATTGCTGGGCTCTCGACATTGCAAGCAAATCGACATAACTGTTGATAGTTTAACATTTCCTCCGCAATCTAAGTCGGGTGTGAACTATTGCGGTGCAAAACAGATTGCGCGGGATTGGGCGTGTGGGTAGGAATAGGGATGATAACCTCCTTTCAGCTCTCAGTAATACTATTAAAATATTTATTCCATTCTAGTTCTAATAGTCGTTTAGGGCTTTCTTTCCGATAACTCCAGACAATCCCATACCCAACCTAGTGACTATAGAATAATCTGTCTAATAGCTTATGCTTCCGACAAATAATTATATCAAGACTATGTTATTCAATTTTAGGAACACTAAGATTGCTTGATCCTTTGCTGTTGAAAGCCAGTGCATGTAACAATTAGTCTTGATAGGATTCACAAATTTATCCCGGAGGGAAGAAAGCTGATATGTTTTTGGAAAGTATGGTACACATTGGTAGCTGTATTATAATCTTCCATATTGGAAAAAATGTTTATCCCGGACAACAAAAAAAATGAACGCTCGCCCTGGAGGCATCTCTGGTCTAAAACAACTTTTGTTCACTTTGGCTGATCCAACACGAGCCCGCCTAATGAAGCGGCATTTTTTATAGCGATACAATGCGCATTTCGCTTGATCAAGGCTCGCACAATCGGCCACTGCTAGGTAACATAGTTTAGAACAGTGGTTCTCAACCCTTTTTCTTCCGTGGCTCACTAACGTTGCGTAAATAATTCTGTGGCTCACAAACTTACTTATGTGAGGAAAACTACAGAAAAATAAAAAGTCAAGTTTCGTGAAGATAGAAACTTCTACTTTATAAATGAAAATATCCACTCAGTTGCAAAAACACCATCATTATTAATTGCTACCACGATCAAAGTTTAACGATTTATTAAATACTCAGCTATTTTCATTAGGCATATGGCTCACCCAAGAAGGTGCTGTCGCGACAAAATATTAAATTTAAAACCAGTACTCACAGAAGCTCTTCCTTTCGTCGTCAAAGTCTTTGAATGGATGTAAAATAAATTTACAAAAACAAACGCTAAAACATTTTTATGACGTCATAGTAAATTTACAAAAAATATCAAATAGGTGAAATTCTAGATTTTAAAATTACCTTTATTTTGCAAATTTTGTTATTAAACTGTGCCACTAAGTAGATTTTCTGTCATCTATTTCAAAAAGCGAATATTCATCGATCGTTACTAGGAAATATATATAGTACACATACAATATAATATATTTCACAGATGTAATTTTTTATTTGCATTTTCATGATTCTGCAAATATTAGTTTTCTGCACTGCGACTTTTTCATCTCGTTGTTAGAGTGAAAAAAATGGGTAAACGCCGGTAAGAAAATTTACGAAATGTGATGTGAAATTTTTGTCTACACGCTGCAGCTTAAATTAACTTTCTACGAACAGGGGTTAAGGTTATACAAGCCATCAAAGTACGATTCTCGGAAGACGAATCTGCTATCGAACGACCAGTGCGCCGATAGCAGACCACCGATTTGAAGCCTCCAATAGTAGGTGGTCGATATGGTGGTCATAAGTAGTTGGGAAGACTACCGGTACAAGGGGGGGGGGGGGGAGATTAGGTAAATATTCAATAAAATGAGCTAAGTAGTCTAAACAAAAAGGCTAAACCCAGCACTCTGATCAATAAACGTTTTTTTTTTTTGAAAACTTTCATACAACTGTTTCTTACTAGTTGGAAAAAATAAACATGACTTAGTCTGTAGAAATAAAAAAAACATGCACAAGACAAATAAATAATGAAAGAAAAACTAAATGTTGATACTTTTCCAAAATTCATGATCAACAACCTGCTGAATTGTTAGTCGTTGGTCTTTATCTTTGTGTGTCATTCTTGTGATCAAATCAAAGGCCAAGTGAGGGTTAGGAATCAGTAAAGCACTTTGATCCATATCTACTGTAGAATATAAGATTAGGCCTTGGTCATTCAGTTTATTAGACCACAATTTATACAAGGTGTTTCCCAAAGTTAAAATATCATCTTGAAAGCCGGGATTATATATTAAAAAAGTTGAAAAATGAGTATGAAAAGAAATTTTCACATTTTGCATGTCAAGTGAAAACAGAATATCGGTTTCTAATATTACATGAGCAATATTATGTTTATGCAGATGTTGTAGACCACTAACTAACTGTTTTGCATGTATGAGAGCAAGTCTAGGATCAAAAGAAATTTTGTTTTTCTTTCTCTCTTTATAATAATCATAAAGAGTTTGGAACTGGCATCTTTCAGTAGCAACAAAATGTTCACTTGTTTTCCTCAAACGACCACTAGCAATAACAGAGAGTAAGTTTGGGTGAGGTGGAAGTTGCTGAAAAGCTTCTAGTTTGTGAAGAAAGTCTTCATTCCACGAAGAATACACCCATATTGCTAAAGGTTCTGTAACTGAATTTGGAAGTTGCCGTTGACCTTCGTAAACTGTGAAATCCAATCCTTTTTCCAATACTATATGAACCACATTGTCTTTATACCACAAGGTGTCATCAGTGAGTTGTATTCGATCTGGAAATGTCACATTAAAAAAATAAATTTGAATTGAAAAACAATTTATAATAAACCTTGTGGGTCAAATGACAATTCAAAGCATGGTCCCGGTAGTATAAAGTTCAAAACACTTTTAGTTTGGCACAATATGTCATAATATTTGGAAAAAAATTGAAGAAATACGAATGCCAAGCACTAATACCTTTAGTTTGCAATGCCACTATATTTTGAAAATTGAAGCCATGCGCTCATTGTTTTATGGTCAAAATGTAGTATCCGTATTAGGTGTTCAAATAAACCGAATAAGCGAATTAAATAATTGCGGTGTATGTGCAGGCACTTCGGAACCAATACTTAATTATGATGAGCTCAAACCCATATAATTACCTGTCGGTAGACGAAAAGGCAGAATACATTTTTCCACAGATTTGTTTTTGATGGTGCACGAACATTTACGGTGATACGCAAATTCATGAATTAAACTTTACTAAATTCAAATTTTTTCAAATTATACAATGAAACTCTTAACCGATAGAGTTTTTTGAGTTAAATTCAAATGCAAAAAAAAAGTTAATATTCTTCAATACAAGGAATGTTGAAATCAACCTTTCTCACTTTTTGAGTTCAGAGCTGCCTTTCTATTCTTTTCTTTGGCTTCAAGATATTTTGCGAAGTGGAAATTATTAACAAGCTTTGATAATGAAGTTGCAACTTGTGAAAAATGACTGAAATTAGATTGATTAGTTTTTGTACGAAAAGTTATTTGATTGTTACGAATAAGTTTTATTACCTATTGGTATGGTCCATCCCTACATGATAACAGCCATGTTAGATACACAAACGAAAATATATATTCATACCAACATGCTTAATCAAGGATAAGTGTGACCAGGATTCTTATTTTGAAGCTATGTTTATTTTAGATTTGGTATTGCCTCATTCGAACAAATACTTCTGCAGTGGGAACTATTCTTCGTAAATCTAAAATATATTGTTCACGGAAAATATTTGTGAGACAGCCACAATTTGTGAAACAATTACAAAACATGGCTGGCTCAATAGACAAGGGTTGTATTTGCTACCGCGAAAATAAAATATGGGTCGATTTCCTACGACCTATATATACCCTTGTTTGATAATTTGCAAGCTAGAAACCAAGTTTATTGGAATGTGTAAATGGGAACATTCGAGTAGAACGAACGAATTGCTGACTTCTCAATGCTGTATAGGGGTCATGTAACATGTAACCACCGGTCGGTCATGGCTTTCTCCACTAAAAAGCCCATGCATCTGAAACAAATAAATGGTTAACTAATCCCATACCCGACATGGACTGCTAACTAAACGAGAGGCAGTGGTATGCCATATGATTAAGCCGTTTTTCGACTTACCTCTACCCCGTGATAAAAATTATAACTCAGCCTTTTTGAAAAACCAAGTTGGGAACATTTATGAAGGAAGACTGCAAATGAGTAATAATCAAATAATACAGCAAAATAAATACACAAACCTTTTAGTTTTCTTTTTTGTTGGCAAATCTGATTTGAAAGTTCCATTTTTAAAATGTGGAAGCAAAAGTTCGTCTTTGATGCTTGTTTGAGACTCGCCAGGTGCAGATTCTTCCTGTAGATCTCGGAATAGTAAACCTGAACAGAAAGTTTTTTTTGATAAGTGTTTAATTTCAGTTAGCAATAGGGCAATATCTCAAAAACCCCTTACTATAAGAAAACGTTTCCAAACAAGGAAAAAATATATTATAACTGAAATGTTGGGAACCACAGCTATAAGTTATTGAGGGAAAAATAAAATGAAAAAAATATAGCAAACTTAACGACGCGCAGATTAGAAATAGCAGTTAAATTACAGTGTATGTCAATGGCCCGATCTCCAGCACATCTGGTTGACCAACCGTCAAATTACACATGTATTTACATTTCAATCAATTTTTCTTACCTTTTACATTCGGTGGAGCCATGTATTTATGAGAGAGAACCTCGTTTATTATTGGACGTTTACGAGGAAAAAACTGCAGCATCCATTCCAGTAAATCTTTTGCAACTTCTGCATCTGGAACTAAAAGTCCATCCAGGTTCAGGTTTTTATGGTTTTTCATGAAATGATTCCATAGATCCTTTTCGTCACCAAAGGGATGTTTACCGTTACTCCATACATAGTAAACAATGACAGCTAGTGAATATATGTCTGTTTTTTGAGAAGTTGGAAATCCAGGCACAAATGATTCAGGGGGTCTGAAACCGTCAGTACCGAGACCTTTTCTGGTGTAAACTGTTTGTGTCTTGGACTCGATGACTTCACTTATGCCAAAATCACCTATTTTGACAACTTTTTGATCCAAGGATAAAAACACATTATCAGGCTTAAGATCTTTGTGCACCACAAGTTTATCATGAATGTATAAAATTCCAGCAAATAACTGTTTTGCAAAATCAAGTGCAAGTTCAGGATCAAATTGGATTTCGGCTTTCTTTCGATTTTCCACAAAACCTCTCAAGTTATCTTGGTTACATTTGTCCATTGCAATGTACATATATTTCATAGGACCTTGTTGGTATTCGTCTGAATGAATCACAGAGACTACATGAGTGTGAGGGTTCAGAAGGTAAAGAATTTTTGCCTCTTCCACACTTTGTTTGTTGTATTGAACAAATTTTATTGCAATCGGACGAGTTCCATAAGTTGCACTTGATATTTGTCCTTCATATACCTCGCCATGGTTTGAAATTTTCTTGTTCCGAAACATTAAAATAGTTTCGGATAGATTGATCGATTCTGTAAAGTGAGAATAAATATGGAAAATCAAAATGTTTCAATGTATTTATGATATAAAATAAGTTAATGCCAAAAAGGCGAACCAGTTAAAATTTGAGAGATTAAAAATATTTTCAGATGCTGGCTACTCTTTAACCTCACTAACCAAGTAGCTGGAAGCAATACTGATCAAGAGGTTGCTGGTTTAAAAGAAAACACGACAATCAACATAAATTAAAATACAGGACATAGAGGCTCGGTGGTGTAGTGCATTGTGCTAATCGTTAGGAATATGTTTGCCACCGCATTCATGATTCTCCTGCGGGGGTTTGAATTCCGTTGGGGATAATTATGTACGAGAAGATTGCTGGACTCTTAGCCGCAGTGGGTGGTTCACGTAAACGCTGGTCGGTTACCAGATTACCCATTTCTCCTCTATCAAGTCCATGCATTTGAAATTAAATAATTGACTACTAATCCCATGCCCATCATGGGCTGGTAACCGGACGAGAGGCTGTTGTTGGCCACATGATTAAGTCGTCTTATCAACTTTTGTTTCTCACGGATAAACATGTAAATGTTAAACAAACCAACCTTCACTATCTTTGGCTTCAGGTTCTTCGTTTTCCTCCATTTTCAGATTTTTCTTGAGATTTGTTAATTCTACAGTTTTGTCAGTTCATGCCAAGATAAATTAAACCAAACTATTGAATGAAAATACGTTGAATGAAGCAATCAAACCAAAACCTAAAACACCATTAGCCGTATTTGAAAATAAGAAATAAATATATAGGGTTCATTCATTAGAATCGAATTGAGATATAGGCAGTGCTATACATATTCCCAACGGGCTCTATTCAGTAACTTTTTTTCTTCCTTTTATAACTTCCCTCCCCCCTATAAAGCTCTGATTAATTATGCCTTGTTCTATGCTATAACTCAAAACGCTAAACTCAAATATTTTCTTATAAAAGCTTACTTGCAACATACTGTATGCATTTTTTGATTATTTATGTCGAAACTTCATAAATTGATGCCTGGTTGTATAGTTCCTTATTGGGAGCAAAAATTAAAAAAATATCGTCCAAAAGTATTATTCCTCACCTATAATTTTGACGGTAAAACGATAAAACAGTTATAACGGTAGAATATTTAGGGAAAACGCTTCGCATTCGCTATTGTATGTTTGAATGGTTTATCAAGGCTTTGGATGAAAACTAAGATGCCAAAATTAACTGTTAACTGAACTAAGACCATTTTTCAAACTCATTATAGAACTAAAATGAGGAAAATTGGAATAAAATCATGGCCTAACCCTAACCTGGTACACGTACTACGTTCTGGTGTCTACTATCTTGGTTCACATACTTCGATAGTACCTAAACGTTTCATCTTAATTAATGCGCCTAAATTCCTTTTCAATATCGAGTCTCGATGCAAATAGAGAGACAATCAACGCAAATTCATCGCCAACGCTCAGCAAAGCAATAGCTTCTCGCGTTCTCAAAGTTATGGCCTCAAAGTTCTATTTTATTGTCAACGTGGAAACTATATATTGCAAATAACTAGCTACTCTTAAAAGCGACTCCGCAAAAATAATTAGAATATATTTGAGATTTTTCTGAAATTGAAGTCAATTGTAAAAGTGCGACACGTTCGACAAAACTCACCTTGAAAATTCATAGATTTACGGGGTGTCCACGAAGTATTAATTAAAATATTTCAAGTTTGAAAAGGTATTTATCGATACCATACGTACTTGTTCGACCGCTACAAGTTTATTAAACGAAGTGAAAAGCTTGGATAAACACTGATTAAACAAACGTGGTTCAGATATATTAAGAAAAGACCTCATAATGAAATTGAAAAGGGAATTTTCGGACACCATGTATAATATGATAGACCGCAAGATTTTGAATTTTGGAAAAGACTTGTACACTGTATTTTTTTTCCTGGTGACTTACTTTACTAAATCCTAAATATTTCCAATTACTTCTGATTATCATAATTGTAAGCACCGATATGACGCTCACTATTCCACACTATATTTTTACCGGCAATACATTATGAGTTATGAAAGGATTTACGTGCGACCCTAAATACGCGGCTCTGTAGCTGCCAGCGATTGAATGACCTTTTCTGAAAAGGAGGTTGTAACTCGATCGTCTAGTCAGAATTAATTAGTGTATTTACTGTGATTTTAGTGTGATATCGATACCAGAATACCGAGTAATGGTTGTGTTCCAGAAGAGCGCAGGACAACGATGCTTCGTTTACAACATTGATATCCTAATCGAGCATAATTTTGTAGTCGTTGGTCTTCAAATTTATCCCGGAACAAGACCGCACTATCTGATGAAAATTACTGGTATATACAATGTTCAAGTTTTTAAAGACAATTTAACTTCGAGTTCCACTCTTTTCACGGAGCTTTATCGCCAATTTAGTACCTACACCAAAGTAGCTGGATTTTAACAAGTATGTTTATCCGAGATATCAGGGAGACGCCTTAAGCAAAAAATACCAATCAAATCATGAAACATAGCTCACGGGCATACTACAATCCAAAAACAGTTGGATCAGGCACACCGCATGAAGTCGGCGTTAACAGTTCAAATACAACAATGGAGTACACACATAGATCGACGGCAACCTAGGTAGGTTTAAATAAGGACCGGATTTAGACGACAAAGCTATGCTAATTGCGAGGCCCCTCTGAAATGGACGTATTGTCGGCCATGGCCACGGGAAGATTCTTCCTATACTTTATCATTGAAAAGTTTTCAAAGCTGTCTTCGAGATTGTTTTGGGGAACTGGCGCTTACAAACTGACAAATGTTACATAGCAAGTGCGTTTTTAATTGGGTTAATTACTAAATTTTAGCTACAGGCATAAATCATCATGGTTCCAGAAAACCCGACATCATAATACTCGTTTTTAGTGAGAACTGGCATAGTAAAAATTATATATAATATTGCGTTTCAATAAAAATACATTATTACGGATTAAATTAGTACACTTTGTTTTTAAGGTTGAAGGAATATATAGTCATATACTGGCATAATGCTCCCGAATAGCGAATCTCGATGCCAACTGAGGGGATGGCTAGTTTTATTTAAACAACTCACACTAATCGCATATATTCGACATATCTTTGGATTCGCGTTTCCGAAAGTTACGATTCCATTTCGAAGTGATATATTATTCTCAACGTAGAAACTACGTAACGCAAATAAATAGCTAATTTTATAAAGAGACTCAACACATAAATTGTTAAGAATATTTTTAAAATTTTTCTGAAATGGAGGTCTATGGTGGCCCATCGTTGTCACGCGTAAAATTGGAAAAAAAATTCAAAAATAATATAAAAAACTGAAAATAAAAGTAAAACAAAAAAAATAGTGGTGAAAAAACATAAAAAAATAAAACAAAAATAAAAAAATAATAAAAATGTAAAACAGAAATTACTGTATAGACTACTGAAACACTCTCTGCGCCTGCCCCATACCGTACAGCCGTAACATACCGATCCAGACTAATGATCCATCCCTTGATTCATTGATTTTAATCCATCCCTTGATTGATTTTAAAAGACTATCCGTATCTCCCATTCGTTTCATGAGTGATTGCATGGGTACCGTTACGGTCAGACGCAAAGCGACTATAACCCCTTTGGTCAGACGGTAGCGGCATCGCACGAGTGTCCGGACAACTGAGCAGTTAAGCAGCATTCTCTAATTCAATTACCTCCTACACGTAAAAACAAATTTTCCGAATTTTCGAATTCAATTCTATATTCTTTTAAAATTATTATAAATATATTACTTCTGGTTGAACTTGTAGCATGGAAAATTTATAAAACATTTTCATATTTAA